AATTCAAGTGGTCTGACTTCAGAAGGATGGCTATATGCTGCCTCTAAGATGCTGTGAGAATTAAATGACACAATGTACATAAAGTGCTTATAATAGTATCTGACATATACATGCTTCATTAAATGTTACTATGTTATTTTAATTACTATTACACAAATTTTCCATCCCATCCCTCTTAAATACAGCAATGGTTCTAATTTAGCACTTGCATGCCCTGTTTTGAATTTAAGCAAGCAAAAACTTTTTAAAAATAGATAATATTTACAAAAGAGTTATACTTGTCAAGAAATTTCATGTGTCTCCTAGGCAAAACTCTTAATAACCAAATTTAACACATTTAATTTGTGACAAGATCCTCCACTAATTTTATCATTAGAAGAAAAATCTACATTCAAGTTAAATATACAATGAACACTAACTTATTTCTATTCTTTTAAGGATATTATCTATATATTTCTCTAATGATTTCAGTGACGTTAGCTTACCCGTCTGGTAAATCATTATCAAATAAACGACTGCAGTCCACAACTTGTCCTCCTGTGCCTATTCGGTCTCTGGACTGAAGACTTACTATTAAATGACAGAAATATTACTAAGATTCATTGAACTAGAAAGAATTATTATAATAAAAAATATCTATCTTTAAAAGACATCTGATTTAGCTTATTTTAATAATTCAGAATTACCTCTTTGGTTTCTATTAAAATTTATAATTTCTTTTCGCATAGATTTTTCCCTTTAGAGTAATGTTAGAATTCTAAAGTTTTCTACACTTTACCATGTTCACAGAAGAAGCCTAATTCCTTTTTTACCACAATAATGGTGCATAGCAGGGTCACTACCCACCATGGACCATCATACAACATTAAAAATGCTATAGATTTTGCAAGTCTTAATGCACAGTTAAAAAAAACAAGTAATGATGCTACAGAAATGTAATTACAGGCCAATAAAAAAAGATGTTTATGATAAATTTAAACCAATTTTTAAAAATCAGTATAATCTCATTAAAAAAAAAAAAAAGCATAGAAAGGGTATACATCCAAGTGATAACAAAGATGACAGGTTATCCTTCCCATACGCAAACACTCCTCCCACCTCAGCCTCCCCCTGTAGCTGGGACATAACAGTTTTAAACAAGGAAAAAAGTTTGTACTCCTTGAATAAATTATCTCAATTTGGGAGATTTTTTTTCTTATGGTAACGATTCTAAAAAAGAATAAAGCAAAGTGCACCAAAATGTTTGCAAGTTTCAATGTTATAATAGCAAAAAAATGAATTTTAATTATTAAGTTGTGATATATCTATATACTTCATCCTTTAAAAATCATTAATTACAAAGATTATAAATACTAAAAATGATTATGGTAAGTGAAAGAAAGCAAAGCAAAAATTTAATGTTCACTGAAATTGAAGACAAATACATACATTTTATATACATATTTATGTATATAAAAAATACTAGAGTAGAATAGTTTTTAAAGTTAGTTTTCTAGCGTCCTTTTCTCCATTTTCCAAAAAGTATATATATCTACTTATGATTATTTGTTAGAGGGCTAATTCTGAAAGAACTGGAACTCATTCTGTTTTTGAATGACAGAACTAAAGTAGTCTAGCCTGCCTCTCTGATCAGTGGTGACATCAGATTCTCATAGGAGCACAAACCCTATTGTGAACTGCACAAACAGGGATCTAGGTTGCCCACTCCTAATAAGAATCTAATACCTGATGATCTGTCACTGTCTCCCATCACCCACAGATGGGACCATCTAGTAAGTACATAATAAATATAATGCACTTCACCCCCACCCCTAGTCCGGCCCATGGAAAAACTGTCTTCCATGAAACTAGTCCCTGGTGCCAAAAATGTTGGAGAGTGCTGGTGTAGAGACTTCACAGCGATAACCACAATAACTTTGCTATGTGGCTACTCTGGTAGTTCTCTATGAACCCAATTCACTGCCTCGTAAAATGAAGTCCTTCAAGTACCTTCAGTAACTAAATCTTTCTGATGGGTTCATAACAAAATAATATTATTCTAAGTTCTGCTCTATCATGAAGTGTGACATTCCTACTGCATTTTTCTTCTTCGTTTTTTGTTTTCTGTTTTTTTTTTGAGATAGAATCTTGCTCTTGTCACCCCTCTGGAGAGCAATGGCACAATCTCGGCTCACTATAACCTCTCCCTCCTGGGCTCAAGCAATTCTCCTGCCTCAGCCTCCTGAATAGCTGGGATTACAGGTACCCACCACCATGCCTGGTATATTTTTATTAGAGTGTATTTTTTGTAAAGACGGGGGTTTCATCATGTTGGCCAGGCTGGTCTCGAACTCCTGACCTCAGGTGATCCACCAACCTCGGCCTCCCGAAGTGCTGGGATTACAGGCATGTGCCACCATACCTGGCCACATTTTTCTTCTTTAATTTAAAAAGCCTTTAAGATGAACAGTGTCCTTCCATACTAGGCATTTTGATCAAAGCTCTATCAATTCTTAAGAAAGGTCTCAGCAAATTTTATGTCAAGATCTTCCCCCCAGGTCAATTCAAGATACCCTAAATACCACGTAAGGCTACAAAGTGCCTCATGAGTAAGGTAACAATTTCTTACTTTTTCAAGTGTTACACCACCATTGCTCATTCTGTTTTTTTCAGTTAGCATAGATTTCAAAGCTGTAAAGCATTAAACATTAAAACATGTTCAACAGAATGTTCTCTTCTTACTAATACTAGTTTTAGAATTATTATCAGTACACTTTAATAATGTCTATAAAGTTTGAACTCAGTGCTCTACTTTATTAGGATACTTTGAAAGAATTACTTCCTAAAGGATCTTCACAACATTTTTTTTTTTAAATTAAGTTAACCTGATCCTGGATTCACTGTAACATTTTACCTGATTCATTTAATTCAGGCCAACACAATGAAGCTACAGTTATTATACTTTGATTTAAAAGGTATTTAGACCTTAGGTCAGTTTGAATGAAATCAAAATTCATTTAACTTTAAATTCCACACTTACCTACTATCTGTCCTCTAACTGTATCATTGTCATTTGGCCCAAGTTTACATAAATCCAACCTCTGATCTATTTGAAATCAACAAAGAAAGCAATTAAAAAATTAGCTAGTATCAGAGATACTAACAACTATAGAGTGACAATAAATTTCCACAATCCATTAGAAATCAAACCTATCATTTAAATTCTTTAAAGAATTCAAATTTCAAAAACTATGAAACACTGGTGTATTACACTGTCAACATGCAGTCACTTTCTCTCCAAAACTTTTAGGCCACTTTAGTCTGAGTCTTAATAGTTGTTGGTGTTAAGGAATTTATCCCTGAGCCTTGGTTTTCTCACATATAACAATATACGAATCCTCATAGTTTTTAAGGATTAAATCAGAGAATTATGCAAAACTCTTAGCATAGTGTCTGGCACATAACTGGTCAACAAATGTTAGTTGTCATTATTATTTTTTAACTAACCATTTCAAATGACATGCACACAAAAATGTATTAAAAAGAAGCCAAGAATAAACTGTAAAATCTGGGTTTGCATCAGTTCTGCCATGAATTCATTTAGGAGCAACTCATTTTTTCTCTCAGAAGCCTCATCTGTAAAAGAGATATAACACTGGTCTGACCCTAAAAGTTATAGTAAGGAGCAATGTCACCTGGTTTTACTTTGATTACAGCACTTATAGCTGAATGCATTTACAACTGTATGCCATTTGTCTACTTATTTTGTGAATTGATAAAAGGAGGAGACCATATCTTAGTCTTTGTATACACTCCAATCTGGTAGAACATTGCATAGGTAGGTGCTCAATAAATATTTGATAAATTCAATATTACTGCACATCAAAAAGGTCAAATTAATACAATGAAATATTCACAAGAAACAGAAAAATCCATGCCCCTAAACTACAGTCCCTAGTTATCCAACCAAAAATACATTTTTCTCTTTGCAAAATAAATGGGTGGCTATACAGTAGATTCTGCAGAGCAACTCCTCTCCTATTCAATTCTCCTATTCAGAGCATGTGGCATGTTCCCTTTGCCAGCAGGCCTTTGCCCTTACCTCTCAGAGAACAGGATTCATGCCTTTTTCTCCTTTATACAGTTAGGGTTTACAACAGTAGCATATTAAGCGTTCAATAAATGTTGGGTAAATTGAACCACAGATAATGTCACACATTTGATCTATAAGTTCTCAGTTTGCTGAGTAATAAAACAGTTCTTTTATATGCAATTCGTTTTTCTAATCCCAATGTCTTTTCTCTCCTGTTGGTTTTCCTGTCAGCCCAGAAATACAAAAATTTCTCAGATGCTTTTTTTTTTTGAGACGGAGTTTCGCTCGTTACCCAGGCTGGAGTGCAATGGAGTGATCTCGGCTCACCGCAACCTCCGCCTCCCGGGTTCAGGCAATTCTCCTGCCTCAGCCTCCTGAGTCGCTGGGATTACAGGCACGCGCCACCATGCCCAGCTAATTTTTTGTAGTTTTAGTAGAGACGGGGTTTCACCATGTTGACCAAGATGGTCTCGATCTCTTGACCTCGTGATCCACCTGCCTCGGCCTCCCAAAGTGCTGGGATTACAGGCTTGAGCCACCGCGCCCGGCCTCTCAGATGCTTTTAAATACCTTGGACTAAGAACTTCTAGCTCAATTTTCTGCCTTTTTCTTTTTTACAAGGTCGATATTATGCCTATGCTGTACTATCATACTTCATTAAAAGAGACAATCTCTTAATGTATTTAACATTCAATGCTAAATTTACTCTGTTTTTTGTTCACTAATTTCCTTAGATGTTAATGCGAGTTTGTTTTGCAAATGCATCTAGGCTAAAATCCCATGACAATGACTAACAGTATTTTTTATATTATATAAAAAATAATTTTATAAAAACACATACACAAAAAAAAATAAACCTGTTGAAAAAGGAATTCCCATTTATGTTCCAATGGAAAGACTCATCCAAAAGACTGTCACCTGGTTATGCTAAATCAACTTATAAATCCATTATGAAAACCACTTCTAATTTCTTGATCTTGGTCTAATATTCTAAATGCCCAAGTTGGTGATAAACTGAGCTACAGTTAAGTAGTTAATATAGCTGTCATACACTCATAAAATAATGTCTAATCTTTCTTTAACTTTTAATTTTGTCACAGCAGTTTTATATATTACACCATTCTTACCCCTTCATAATTGCCTTTTAACTGCCATCTCAAACACTCCAATCACCTAAATAAAAACATTTCATCCACAAATCCACCAAAACCAGAAAAGGGTACTAAGAAATTTTAAAAGGCATATACATCCTGACATCTTTCTTTTTGCCGTTCCGGATATCAATCATTTCTTAGTATTTTTAAATTAACTGGAAATGAAGCATCGAGCTCTGATTTAGCTATAAGTTTCACATATTTAAAATATTTCATTTTTTTTTAAGTCTACAAAATAAATTTAGACCGAGAATTTTTACCAATGTTTCAGACATACACAAGTAGTCGTGTCTGAAGTCCTACCAACATATCAAATATATATATATATTAATAACATATACATAAATATGTATTTATAGATATTATATAATATATATTTACATATATTTGTGAATATAGCGCATGTATATATGTATATGCACACATATATATACATATACACACACAAGCACACAGATATATATACATTTTTTAATTTGAAAAGCATTAGTATCTACTCACAACCAGTGTCTTTGAGGCGGTTGATGGCATTGGAAAGAAGACGAACACAACCAAGAAATCCAGCACCTTGTTTCTTATGGATCTTCTTGTGATTCCATACACTGATCGTAACTGAATCAGACTTTCCAATATACCTAAAAATAAAACGGCTGCATGAATTAAGTTGGTAGTTATAGGCAGTTGGTGTAAAATCTTTCTTTTGTTCTTTTGATACTCTAAAGTTACAAATATACTTCAGAGTCTGGCTATAGATTATGCAAAATATGTCGAGTTAATCTACAGGATTGAATCTAAATTTTCTAAAATCTTGAAAGTAAAATCTAAAAAAAATATTTACTATATTTTTATCACATCTGCCACTCTCAAGCTGAGCTGTAATTCTAGTTAATAAAAAGGCTATTTTAGTAGCTAGCATCTAATAACACTAAGGGAGTTTATTAAATAACTTCTTTCCAAGAAAATCTTAAAAACTTTTATCACAGTCACACTTTAAATACATTTGAATGACATGACCTACTTTTCAAGGGATAGTGTCAAGGCTGACAGACCAAAAATCTGACCTACCTGTTACATTTTTAAATGCTGTAGAACAAAAGCTGTTTGTAACGCTTTTCCCCTGCTTCTTTCCTGTATGCAGGCCTTGAGCGAGCAGGACTCTTGTAGTTTTCACTTCACTGCCTGCAGACAAGCAGAGCAGGGAAAAGCGTTACTGTACTTGTCTGTGCATACACCTGCAAGTATGTAAACGCTCTACCACAGCCAATTGTTAACATGGCATCGACCCATGCAAAAAGATAATAAAATAACATAATTATGTCAGTAGAATCCTAGCTCTATTTCCATGATAGTAAGAGGTCAAATTTTTGGTCCAGCAACCTTGATCTTAAAATATCATTCATACAATAAATTAGCAATATCAGAAAAATTCACCTAGTACAGAGAAAAGCCTAAACCACTTAAGTAAGGACTAAGGCTTTAAACAAGGAACATGGAAGGTACACTTGAGCCCCAGGATCCAGCTGTGCCTAAAAAAATGCCCACCCCTGGGCTTTTAATTATACGAATCAGTACATTCTCTTTTAAAAAATTAAGCCAATTTGAATTCGGTCTCTACTGCTTGCAAATGAAAAGATTTGAACTAAAATATTGTTCAGTATGCATGTACTAATTTTCAAATACACCTACCAGATCTATCTTGGCATGTATCTATTGGCATGTAATTCTAGAGCCAGAACCAAGTATTAAGTAGCTGAATTACCCAACCCAAATATTTTTTTACAAGTCACATTAAACCAGTTGCCCAACTAGTAAGCCTGGTTTATAGGTACGCTGAAATACATATACTGATTACCTCAGTCCTCAGGGCAACGCACCACTGGCTTAAGCAACTTCATCTATTTAGTCCATTGTGCCTTATTTTTTATGTGTACCATGATATGAAAAGGTTGGGAAGCTCATTAAACCATAATAAGAAATTGCTAATTATGGACCTTCTGGAAACAGCCAAACTCTGAATTACTAAAAATTGTGAAATATATTATATTACTTAAGTGTACATGTCACAAACATTCTGTCCAAATATTCCTGCACCAGAAATTAATCAGAAAAATTATCTTTTCTCATACATAGAGAAGTACATGCTTTCACTTTAATGAAACCTCACGTAATATAACATACATGGCAACATAAAAAGTAAATCCTTTTATAATTGAAAGTCAAACAGAGGGCTCTATTAGCTTCTATTAAAACTCAGACTTCACTAACAAATATATGATTTATAAACAAGTTTCAGGATATTGTGTTCAGATGGGGAGAGGGACACCTCTATAGATGAATATAATGTTACAATATAGACCAAAATATAATATACGCACTCAGGATTTGGGGCTAAAATTTAATTATTAGGCTTCTGTTTTCACACTTACCCAATTAAAGGCAAGGATTTTGCAAAATGACCTCGGAAACAAGCAAGAGAGAAGCCTTGGGTAGCCAATTAATATTAACTGTAAGATAAAACCTAGTAAGCACATGACAAGATGTTCAACATCATTAGTCATGAGGGAAATGCACCTCAAAACCATGACGAGGTACAACTTCATACCCACTAGGGTGGCTACAATTTTTTTTAAAGGAAAATAACAAGTGACAGAGAGATAAAGAAAATTCCAGTGGAAAACAACAGTAATGAAAGATCAAAATCAGGATGCCATCAGCAATACTCTCAACCTACTCTGTCCAAAATGGTACCCACCAATCACAAGGGACCCTTGAGTACTTCAAATGTGGCTAGTCCAAATTGAGGCAAGCTGCAGAATAAAGTACTGATTTTTTTTTTTTTTTTCTTAACATAAAATGAGAAAACCACTGATTTTTCAAAGACATAGTAAATATGTAAATATACCACATATGTAAGTAGCTCAATATTTTAATACTGACATGTTGAAAATATTTTTGATATATTGAATTAAATAAAATACATTATTATGCTTAATTTTAAAAAACAGGGTCTCGCTATGTTGCCCAGTGTGGTCTCAAACTCCTGGCCTCAAGCTATCCCCCCACCTCTGTCTCCTGAGTAGCTGGATTACAGGTGTAATCTACCATGCCCAGTTTATTATGTTTAATGTCATCTGTTTCTTCTTACTTATCTTAATGTGGATACTAGGAAGATTAAAATTACAGATAAGCTCCTATTTGTGGCTTACATTATATTTCTACTCAATAGTACTATTCCAAACCTAGACGATAATGAAGCAATGTATTCAACATTTTGAGGTAAAGTGATATTTTATTTAGAAGCCTATACTGAAACCGTATCAACAGATAAGAAGTCAAAATATATTTCCTGATAAGCTCTCAGCTTTCTTTCCATCTTTGTATTATTTCTCAAAATGACAATGGAAGATAGAGTACACCAAAAGAGGAGCGTAAACAAAAAAAAAAAAAAATAGAAAGTCACTAAACCTAGAAGAGACAAAGGAAACTGCCAACACACCAATAAAGGCAAGTCTCAGGACAACTGCACAGCAGGTCTTAAAGAACCATGTGACATAACTATGGATATTTACATAATAATGTAAACATTTAACAATGGTTTAGCCAAAAAGGTTCATATAACTATATTGAAGACTAAAGAAAAGAAGAGGCTTGTGAGTGTCATGGGAATGGGGATGATGAATACCAGTTTTAAAAGCTGAACCATTAGGCCAGACATCACAGCCCACACCTGTAACCCAATTACTTTGAAAGGCGGAGAAGGGAGAATTGCTTGAGCCCAGGAATTCAAGACCAGACTGGGCAACATAGCAAGATCCCATCTCTACAAAAAATTACCAAAAAAAAAAAAAAAAATTAGCTGGGCACGGTGGTATGCACCTGTAGTTCCACCCACTCAGGAGGGTGAGGTGGGAGGATCAGTTGAGTCCAGGAGTTTGAGGCTGCAGTGAGCTATGATTATGCCACTGCACTCCAGCCTGAGCAACAGTGTCAGTGTCTCTAATTTTAAAAGAATTTTTATTTTATTTTTTTAAAGGATTTTTAATAATAAAAAAATAAAGCTGAATCACCTTCTAGGTAGGAAACTCAAAAATACCTAAGACTAGGCTGGGCATGGTGGCTCATGTCTGTAATCCCAGCATTTTGAGAGGCCAAGGCAGGTGGATCATTTGAGATCAGGAGTTTTAGACCAGCCTGGCCAACATGATGAAATCCCATCTCTACTAAAAATGGAAAAATTAGGTGGGTGTGGTGGGGGGGGGGCACCTGCAGTCCCAGCTACTCGGGAGGGTGAGGCAGGAGGACTGCTTGAACCCAGGAGGTATAAATTAATGGGGGGCGAGATGAGGCAAAAAAAAACAAAAAAAAAAAAAAAAAAAAAAAAAAAAAAAAAAAAAAAAAAAAACCTAAAACCGGAAAAAGAAAACTGTGATGCTATAAAATAAGGAACATATCTAGAAACAGATGAAAACGCCAGAATAAACAGCCAAAGTCATTAAGGCAGTTACCTTGAGGATAGGAATCAAGAATGAGAATGCAGCAGGGAACTTGCTGTTTTCCATTAAAAGCCTATACTTTATAGTATCATTTGCCTTTTTAAAAAGATGCATATACTCCTATGATTAAAATAAAATTTAAAAGAATGAAAGCATCTACATAAAGGCAAAAAGAATGCCTATTCAGTGCAACTCAAATTCTGACTTCTGGTGTTATAATTGGTCTAAAGTGGTAAATCAATACCTTTACTTAACTGGAAAAAGTGGTGGGGGGACTGCTCTACTGTGAGCCAGTTTCATTATGTTCTTCACAGAATTTTACAGATATCTCATCTTTCAAAACCTGTCCACAAGCCAAAGTACATTTCCACTGGGCTTTTCTTTACCCCTTTTGTGAAGATCAAATCATACCACAGATGAAACTCAGATCATTTTCCATTATTCTTTTCAAAGACTATATCAAGTAATATTAATTATTTGTTTCATTTCAAACTAATTGTTTAAACCTACAGGTCATAATGCTGATTCCACTTTGGATCGAGTGTATTCTTCACAGTATCTGTAGAATGGCACTGCCCAGATCCATCAACCACCACCTTAGCAAATGGATCAGGAAGTCCTGTGAAAAAATATTTTTTAAAATTAATAATCTGACATGTAAGACAGAAGATTAATTATACACACATTCCATTTGCTACAAAAGATTATTCCATTCTTTTAAAAAAGCTTAACATTTAGCTATAAATTATCCATTTTTTAAAAAAAAAGACTAAAGTTAATTCTATATTAAATACCAAAGTTATATTTTTCCTCTTTTCTGTCTCAAAATATTCCCAGTTCAAACTACCTAAGTCTAGAGGTTACCTCATAATGTGGAAGTTTTTATAGGTTGTTAACAGCCCTCTGACCCCAGAAAGGGGAATTATTCTTATAACCATTCACGGCTTTTTCTTTCCAAATGTCTCCCTCAGTAGCACATTTAAAGAAAGAGCTTATTAAAGGTTTTTATACAGAAACACAGGCTATAGAGAAATCAAATTAGTAAATGAGTTTTGCTGAATAATTACCAGGAAAAATGAGACTGAAATAAAAGATAAAACATTCTGCCTTAAAAGAGCTTACTATCTAATTGGAAAAATAAAAATATTACACACGGAAAAAAATAAAACCAAAAATACCTCAGAATAAACAAGTGCTTAGTGATACTGATTATAATGCAAACACTTATATGACTATGTTAGGTACTATTCTAAATACTTTACATTCATCCTTAATCCTTACAATAACCCTATATGGTAGATAGGGACTGTTATTATCCCTATTTTATTGACGAGGAAACTAAGGCACAAGGGGGTCAATTAACTAGCCCAAGGTCACTAAAGTGTAGATTCTAAACCCATGTCTGGCTCTCAACTTCCATGCTCTTAATCACTATACTGTATTTTACCTGTCATTTACTATGTGTTTCAACAGTGAGTACAAGTAAGAGCTCAGAAAAACAGGACAGCCAGGCATGGTGGCTCACGCCTGTAATCCCAGCACTTTGGGATGCTGAGGCGGGCGGATCACCTGAGGTCGGGAGTACAAGACCAGCCTGACAACATGGAGAAACCCCATCTCTACTAAAAAATGTAAAACAAGCTGGGTTTGATGGTGCATGCCTGTAATCTCAGCTACTTGGGAGGCTGAGGCAGGAGAATTGCTTGAACCTGGGAGGCAGAGGTTGCAGTGACCTGAGATTGGGCCATGGCACTCCAGCCTGGGCAACAATAGTAAAACTCCAACTCAAAAAAAAAAAGAAAAAAGAAAAGAAAGAAAAACAGGAGAATAGTTTAACTGTAAAGAAAGGACTTTGATGAGGGCAGGACTCATCTGGGCTTTAAAGCAGGGGTCTCCAACCACTGGGCCATGGGCTGGTAGATTCTTGGCCTATAACAACCGGGGCACACAGCAGGAGGTGAGCAGCAGGAGAGGGAGAAGAGCAGCCTTAACGCCTGAGCTCTGCCTTCTGTAAGATCAACAGTGACATCAAAGGCTCATAGGAGCTCAAACCCTATCCATGCAAGAGATCTAGGATGTGTGCTCCTTACAAGAATCTAATGCCTGATGATCTGAGATGTAACAGTTTCATCCCAACACATCCTCTGCTTCCCCCATCCTTGGAAAAATTGTCTTGCATGAAACAAATCCCTGCACCAAAAAGGCTGAGTACTGCTGCCTTAAAGGACATACAGAAGGAGGACTTTCCTAGCAATAGGAAGAGTGCCAAGAAGGGTATGACAATACAGTATGTAAAAGACTTTCAAGAGTCTAACCAAAGAGATTGTGCTAAGGTGTAAAAGTAAATACTGTTGGAAATATGACTGATCCAGTAAGAGGCTTAACAGTCAGACAACAGGGCTTGGACCAGTTGAGATAGATAACAGGGAGCCATTTCAGGTTCTTGAGCGTGGCTGTAACTACAGTCATATTTTTCTATCAGTAGTTTTCAGGGCCCACTAGGAGAAAGACTAGAGACAGACCACATAAGAAGCTGTTGTAATAATGCAACAGTAGGATGAAAAGACCCTGAAAGAGGGAAGTCACACTGGAAGGGGAAAGGAAACGACAATTCAGAGAGCTATTCTGAAAGATTTAATACAAACTAATAAGAAACTTGTATCAAAGATGACAATACAGTTTTTGGCCTAAAGCAATAATGAAAATGATTCTTCTGACAAAAATTTAAAAGGTGGAACTAAAAATGTTAGAGAGAGAAAAATGACACTTCACATGTTAGACATTTTGGGACAGAGTAGATTTCCTGTGGACAGCTGAAAATACTAGAAGTGGTGGTGACTGGAGAAATTTTGCACATTGGTATCAACGCTAATTTTTTTCAAGTTAAGATACTAATTTGTCAAGTTTCAAGGACAGACAAATCACCTATCAGTTCCCCAATTTTATGATTCTGTGATCGATCACCTTCAAATAATAAAGGGATACCAAAACTTAAGGATTAAGTTTCGAAGAAACTTGGTAAGTTAGGGTATTAAATCTATTTGACTCTATTATTCTTGAAGCTGAGTGCTATGCACAATATTTCAATAATACCTAACTATTTATAAATTCAATGGAAAAATATTTTTATCTCTATCCTCAATACATGAAATATTTCCTCCTGGGAAAGAATTCACTCTATCTTGTTATTTTCACCCTACTAATTAAATAAACATACAAATGTATGTTTATAAGCAAAAACAAAAAAATCACATTTCTAAACTTTCCCTTTGGGTATTACTAAACTAATTGAATATTCAAGTATTAAACTAGTTGAATTAAGTCTTTCTGCTAGTTTCTTGCTTTTTAAAAAAATAAAAAGAATTAAGGATTGGCCAGGCAGAGTGGCTCACATCTGTAATCCCAGCACCTTGGGTGGCTGAGGTGAAAGGATCACTTGAGCCCAGGAGTTTGAGATAAGCCTGGGCAACATAGTAAGACCCCACTTCTGTCAAAAAATTTAAAAGTGAGCCAAGCGTGGTGCCGTATGTCTGTAGTCTCAACTACTCAGGAGCCTGAGGTAGGAGGATTGCTCGAGCCTGGGAGGCTGAGGCTGCAGTAAGCCAAGTTTCCATGCAACAAAGTTTCCACGCCACTGCACTCCAACCTGGTTGACAGAGTAAGACCCTATCTCAGGAGACTTAAAAAATAAGGATTAAGAAAAACATCTGACAAAAGACTAATATCCAGAATCTACGAAGTACTCCAATCAACAAGAAAAAAACAAGCAATCCCATCAAAAAGTGGGTTAAGGACATGAATAGACAACTCTCAAAAGAAGATATACCAACAAGATAGGCCAACAAGCATATGGAAAAATGCTCAACATCACTAAGTATCAGAGAAATGCAAATCAAAACTACAATGCAATGCCACCTCGCTCCTGCAAAAATGGCCATAATCAAAAAATAAAAAATAACAGATGTTGGCATGGATGCAGTGAAAACGGAACACTTCTACACTGCTGGTGGTAATGTAAACTACTACAACCCCTACGGAAAACAGTGTGGAGATTCCTTAAAGAACTAAAAGTAGATCTACCATTTGATCCAGCAATCCCACTCCTAGGTATCTACCCAGAGGAAAAGAAATCATTATATGAAAAAGACATTTGTACCTTCATGTTTACAGCAGCACAATTTGCAACTGCAAAAATACTGAACCAGCCCAAATACCTATCAATGAGTGGATAAAGAAAATGTGATATATATAAATACACGCGCACGTGCGCGCACACACACACACACACACACACACACACACACAAACCCCTACACATACATATATACACCATGTAATACTACTCAGCCATAAAAAGAAATGAATAATGGCATTCGCAGCAACCTGGATAAAACTAGAGACTCTTATCCTAAGCGAAGTAACTCAAGAACGGAAAACCTAACATCATATGTTCTTACTCACCTGTGGGAGGTAAGATATGAGGATGCAAAGGCATAAGAATGATACAGTGGACTTTGGGGACTTGGGGGGAAGGGTGGGGAGCGGCGAGGGATATAAGACTACACACACTGGGTACAGTGTACAATGCTCGGGTGATAGGTCCACCAAAATCTCAGAAATCACCACTCAAGTACTTATTCATGTAATCAAATAGCAGCTGTTCCCCAGAAACCCATTGAAATTTTAAAAAATTCAAGGAAAACAACTTCTTCCATACAAAATGTGACTTCCAGATCCTGAACTAAGTAGGAAAGTCACAGCCTTTTGTTTCCTTTATGTTAATAACACAATAAACAAAAACACAAGTTAAATACCTTAATGAAAAAACACATAGGTTTCAACTTAACTTGATTATATTATTCTACAAAAAACTAACTTGAAGGCCAAGTCACTCCAATATGGTCAAAAGCTATCAGGTTTTCTGAAGTTAGTGAGACATCTAGTGGTAAACACAAAGTGGCTAGAGAACTTTCTGCATTTTAAAAAAATTCTTGGCCAGGTGCCATGATTCATGCTATAATCCTAGCACTTTGGGAGGCTGAGGCAGGCGGACCATGAGGTCAGGAGATCGAGACCCTCCTGGCTAACACGGTGGAACCCCATCTGTACTCAAAATACAAAAAATTAGCTGGGCGTGCTGGCACGCCTGAAGTCCCAGCTACCTGAGAGGCTGAGGCAGGAGAATCACTTGAACCCAGGAGGGAGAAGTTGCAGTGAGCCAAGATTGCGCCATTGCATTCCAGCCTGGGCATCAGAGCGAGACTCCATCTCAA